AAAAGACTGCTGTACTGTAAGAAACTGCAATGTTCAGGAAAGTGTAAAGTCAGATATTTTTTATCTAGTCAAGTAATGTTTTTTGATGATGTTTATAAAACAAATAAAACCCGAGATTTTGTTTTATTTTTTTTTTACTCCTTTGATGTGTAACAAAATGATGATAGTTTGAGCCTCTGATCAACTTACGCATTTATTGATCCCATAAACTTGCTCTTTTTTTTTGATTTTGCATCTAATTTCAATTTTCCACAATATATTCCACGTTGATGAAACTTTAAAACGCTTCAATAATTCAACATTTTGTATAAAAGATGTCGATTTTGAAATAATTATTTGTTGCATGATCCATTTTAACAAACTGAAACACAGGAATAGGATAGGAAATAAGCTGCATATTCTTTAACAAATCCATACAGATACCTAATTTCAGGTTTTGTACACTGTAATCCAAACCGAGTAACTTTTTTCATAACAGTTTTAAAAGCAACGTTGTCCATAATCTTGTGTCTTATAATGACAAAAGTTGTTCTGCAAATCCGTGTGACTCCAAGCAGACAAAAATTTTGTTAAATTTACATGAATTGACTTATGAGAGGTTAAAAAAGAAATGCAGTGTAAATCAAAAATTCCCTGTTTCACAATTTCATTGCTTAAAATTATTTAAACACTTCTTCTAAATACTTTTATGAATTGAACGCTTAAAACAACCAAAACTAAGCAAAAAGACACTTTTGTGTTAAGCTGTCAACAATTTACAACAAAATAAGCAATATTCTACCCTTAAAAGAGAGATTAAAAAATAATCTGAATGTCTGTTATCATTAAAAAAAAAAAAAGAAGCCATCTAAAAGTATTGTTTTATCAGTAACATCTTTCTATCTAGCAACGATAAATCTGCACATCCAACGTTTTAATCTGAACATCTGTAAATTATACAGGTATAAAGCCTCCACGATATAATCAACACTTCGTTCGTCCAATTTCTTGATGCTCTGGTGATGGGTTCTCATCAACTATTTCAACAACAAGTAATACGCCATAACTTACTGTTAAACCTGTTCGGCTCAATTTTTTTCTATTTCCTGCTTTTATAAACGCGCATATTGCAAAATACAGGACTATCTCCTTAAAAACTTACAACGTATCAGTCATAACGAATCAAAAGGAAAAACGCAATTATTCTTTGTACAATGGAATACGTTATGTTCCATCTCTAAGCCTTACTTCAACCTTTCTACAGTTTAATCCAATCCACCTATATTTCCATTCTAGATGTAGCGATCAGTTTCAACGACACAAACGAGGAATTAATGATAAAACTTATCCACTATGTACACTTGAATCACTAGTTCCGATCAAATGTCTTTTATACGATCCTTATAAGTGCCGTCTTTCAAGTACGAAATTTTATGAAGCAAAGCCGCCAAAACTCTTCGAGCAACTCTGTTTAATTTGGTAGGCCCATCTATTCAAATAGTACAGAACCACGTTTATTGAAATTAGAATTCATCGGCTTAATTCATCAAAAAAAGAAAAAATGACGCCAGCAAACTGGAAGAACTTCAAGTGGTTTTCAATGATATCAGTTCACCGCAATAAAAATTCTTCTGCTAACAGTTCCACAGTAAAATCACAGCAAAACAATTGTAAATTCAACCAAAACCATTCGTAAACTGTTAAAAAATCACCATTGAGGACAACAAATATAATCGTTGGTCATAAAAATGAATGGAAATAAAACCGTCGCCGTAAATTCTGACAAATAAAACTTTTCAGTGAATAACACGTTTTGTCAACGAAGGGAGCCGACAAAAATATAACACAAGAGTGCAATTTAAAGCAACTTTAATAACACAAAGTACTCTCCCTGCAAAATGACAACCGCTTATCTCACTGCCGTATGATATGTTAAATACTGCATATAATGTACAAAAATCATAAAATCTATAACTTAATTTCTTATTTTTTTTTCAGCAAAAAACTACAAGAAAAAAAAGAAAGGAAACAGTGGTAACAACAATAACCACGGTGAATTTATTGAAAACTTATTTAAGCCAGAAATATTAATACCGTAGCAGAAACAAATTATGAAGATTGGTCAGACATATAAAGTAGGGCCAACAAAGCAACTTCGATGAAAAACAAAAATTAAAAAAATGAAACAATCATATGGTATATGATAATCAATAAATTTTGTTCTAATAAAAATAAGTACCCTTCGATAGTCACAAGTAAAAACATGAGACTGTTTACACCTGCACATTACCATGAATCAAAGAACTAGAATCGTGAACTGAGAAAGATTGTAAAGAAATGTGAATGCCCGCAATATCAAAAATCTACTTCTGGTATTAAGTTTTGACTCAAGGTCTAAATGTGATAAGAAACTTGAACTTTCTAGCAACATCATATAAGTCTGAAGCGAACAAAATAAACTACATAAATTAAAATGAAAGTCACAATTTGAAAGATTTTTGTCCACTGGTGCTTTTCGCACTGAGGCAGCAAATCTACATGCAAAAAGCCAGTGAAAAACTGAAATAATGTAATAAACTTCTGGCTATTTTAATAGATTCTCTAAATACCTAACTGCTGCATCAATTAAGTACCTAAGCAAAAAATAACCTTGATCGACAGTCAGTGATTATAGTACAGGCAAGATACGTAACGCCAACAACAGATACGACCGATAGCTGCTTCAAACATTTGAATAAAACTAGCTATAAATATGCTATTTTAAAAAATATAAAAATGCTGTATATACATTTAGAATTTCAACCCTGATTTTGTCGCCTTCCAGCTTGAAAATCCATAATTTCTTGCCATATTAGAACTCTCCATTCGTCTATGTTCAAATCTCCTAAAACTGACTTTTATAGTAATAAAATTAAAAGAAAATTGTAATAATATTTTGGTTATAATGTTTTGGCAAAAAGCTAATTCGGTAAACAACATAACAATCAAAAAATTTTATGAAATATATTAAAACTAGTAACCGTCAAAGTCTATATCCAATGGCTTAGACTCTGGTTCATCAGACGGATCGTGGTACTGTTTCAAATAAGGATGCTCCAGGGCTTCACTGGCAGTTGGTCTACACAACAAGGAAAAATCAATAAAACCATTTGGTTTAAACAAGCAAAAAACTCGTTACTGGGGAGCAGAAATGGTTATGTAAAGTGAAAAGTAAAGATAAGATTTCCATTCACAATGGATTAAATATTAGCATACATTAAGAGATAATTTGATGTGTCAGCAAAATTACCGTTGATCAGGGTCCAAACTTAAAGTCCTTTCTAGTAAATCAACCGCTTCAGGTGAGGCGCTAGGGAACAGTTTTCTAAAATCTTTGCGTGGCATTTTTGGAAGGTTACGGATGTAACTTCTCGCATCGTCAGACTGGATTTTAGAAAGGAATTCTTCATCTGGTGTGCCAACCACATTCATAATTCGTGTTAACTGGTCGGTATCTGAACATTCAGCACTAAGTGTAATTCTTAGAAGTTCATACTTGTATCATTAGACAAAATGTAATTACCAAAAAGGATCAGATATCAGCTGTGTAAAACCCACAAAAGTTTTTATGAAACTGTGTGGTAAATCCAAATCTTACAACCAATATATATAACACTTTGAAGTGTCTATAAACGAAATTAACTTACGATCGGCTCCTGGAAAAAGAGTCCTTCCCGTGATAAGTTCCGCCATTATACATCCAACAGACCAAATATCCACTAAAGATTCCAACATAAAATTACAAATGAAAAAAAGTTCTATTTGACAAGTGTTAATGACAAAGAAAAAATGTTTATACCAGTCTGAGTATAATGCATCCAGTTAAGCATAATTTCAGGAGCACGATACCATCGCGTAGCCACATAACCAGTCATCTCATTATCTGTTTGCCGCGCCAAGCCAAAATCTAGTATCTAGAAAAAATAAAAGTAATACAGTTAAAAAAGTGCCGAAAATTATGCAACCTCGTTTTTTTTCGGAAAAAGACTAGGAAAGGTTAACCTTAAGTTCACAATCTTCGTTCATAGCAATGTTAGAAGGCTTAAGATCACGGTGAATAATACCAGCCGAATGAATGTACTGAAAAATGACCAATTACGATCTCCGAGAGCAAATCTATAACAGTAACAAGAACAATTTTGCAATTCGAATACCAAAATAAAAACAATGCAAATCCTTAAAATGTTTTACTACTCACCTTTAAACCACGCAAGATTTGATAAATAAGGAATTGAATGTGGTCATCGCTTAAGCGCTGAATTTTCATTATATTTGAAAGGTCAGCCCCCATAAGCATTGACACAAAATACCTGAATACTTAAAGACCAGCCTACTGTAAACATAACAAGCAGCAATTAAGACTACGGAAGCTAAGAAAGATAAGTTACAAAAGAATGCTGCATAAAAAAATCTCAAATCTTCTGAAAGTTTCATGAAAAACCCTGACGTCCAATCGCTACTGCGATATAACCCCCCACTTCTTCAAAAATGAATTCATAAATAAAACAGAAGCCATACGGTCTAATCTATACGAAAAAAGATAGAGAAGTCTTGTTGGAATATTTCTTAAAAATAACAG